TAATTAAAATAAAAACAATTAAATTGTCTGCGTTTATTACTATTATTTCATATTCTTGAGAACCATCAATGTATTGTATTAATAATGCTGCTGCTATACTATTGTAACGTACTAAAGCTATTTTACATCAAAAATTACTGTTTGTATAGAAGATAACGATGATTAACAGTTAATTAATTAATTAAAATTAATTAGTTAATTAATTTTAATTAATTAATCATTTAATTAATTAATTAAAGTTTTCTAATTTACGATAAGAACATAGAAACGAATTTTTTCTTTCTGAAACACATGAGTAACTGATGATGATATTGGAGCGATGCTACTCTAGGTTAGTGTTTGTTGTTAAGTATCACTGACTGATTCCAAAATTTAAGAAATGACGAATGAATGAATTGATGAACGAATTAACGAACGGATGGATGGATAGTTGCGTGAATGGATGGATAGTTATATCGATATATATATATATATATATATATATATATAGGTGGATAATTGGATGAATGAAGAAATGAATGATAAGTGTATAACTGAATGGTAAAGAGAGAGAGAGAGAGAGAGAGAGAAAGAGAGAGACAAATTGAGTGATAGAGTGCTATGGTGAGAGAAAAAGAGAAGGTAATATTAATAAATCAGAAAAAAAAGCGAAAGACAAAAATATCACAGATACCTAATGGTACATATATAGAGCGAAAGAAAAAGAGAGAGAGAGAGAGAGAAAGAGAAAAAGAAAGAAAGAAAGAGAGAGAAAGAAAGAGAAAGAGAGAAAGAAAGATAAAGAAAGCAAAAGTAAAAAAAATTTAAAAAATTTAAAATTTAAAGTCAAGTTACATATTATTGTCACCGGATTGATTGATTACATTTTAAGGAGAGTTTCAATTGACAATTTGTACGAACGTAGTAGGTTACATATATCAAGTGATTGGAATAAAATTTTCTTTTGTTTTTACTAAGAAAAAATCCGTTTTTCTACAAAAGATAGTTATTTTTAATTTTTCTCTTTCAAAACCAAGGTTTTTTT